AAATAATTATTTATTTTTTTTAATTTACACTATTTACCATCATCGCATTGTTCACCATTAATCTAAATGATTCCATCTCCACAAAATCCTATACATAATTATGAAAAGCATTAATTAAGAACATCGTCCCAAATGCAAATTTAATCATCAACATCAACATTACACAATTCTTTTAGAAATATATTGTTACAATTTTTCTTTTAAACACACATATCATCTAACCAATCGCAAGGCTTTAAGTTTTTGTCAAAAGTACATTAATGTTTACTCTAAACATCTTCACATTACTCTCTAAGAATACAAGATTTACCATTAGATGCACATCTTTTATCATCAAAAAGCAATGAACAATCTTGATCATCTGAATATTAGTAATCAAAATAACTTTTTTCTTTACATTTACCTTTTTAATAATTATTCATAAATTCAATACATTAATTATGAGTTGAAGCAATAAGAGGTTCATTTTCATAGATATATTTGACACATTATTTTTTGATTTCATCCCAAAAACAAGATATATCACTTATGTTTAACATTTCTTCACTCATACATTAAAGTTATGAATATTCATTACAATTATTTGATACTTGAAGGCATCCATTAAAATATTAATTTACTGTGCATTATTTACTAAAATATTATTAACAAGATTAAACTGTATAATCATTCAATTCAGCAGTTGAACATTATTTTAAAGTACATAAATTGTTACTAGAAATCCATAAACATTCTTAGAATTAATTGTTTATATAGCATTAATCCTGAGCTGCAAAATTTAAACAATCATCTAGCGTCTAACATCCATTATGATATTTATTCACTGTACAATTCTTAAGTCTCTAATTACAATCAAAATGTGTATTCATTTCTAGAGATGAACAAGTTAAATCAACACAAATATTTTTAGATATAGAATAGTAGCATTCATTTCCATTTGTATCTTGGAAACATAGAGTCTCTTTGGCTAGAGAACAAGATATTGGCAAATCAACACATTTAATTAAACCTACTTTTAAAGTGCAACTTTTGCTAGGATAATAGGATTCACATAATTGATGAGATATGTAAGAATTATTAGAAGATTCACATTATTCAACGCAAGTCAAAGTATTGCTATCAAACTTACAATTTGGTAACCAACTTTCACCATCAGAACCTGAATTTGGTGTTCCCTTGAAGTTTGAACAGTCTTTTTCTAAGCATTAACTACTACTACAGAGCAATTTAAAAGTACACAACTATTATTATCATACATACACTGATTATGAAACTGGAAGCAAATTTAATTACTAAGCAAAGAATCATTTTAAGCAGAGCAACAATTTTTACATTCATTATTCTACCAAAAACATTTAATGCCATCAATTGTAACCTAACATCCAGCTTCATATCTATAGTTAGAGCATAATGTTTCCTTAAAGATGCACATTGTGTCACCAATTTCGATAATTCCTCTTGTTGCAATCTGAATGTTCCAATGGAGGACTTTTAATATTTGTATCACAAGTATTATTATTAGAAAAACTAGCATTGCACCAATAACGTTTTAATGATTTAGAGTTATAATAATTATATCAATTCGAATTTAACAATTACTCTCATCTTGATGGTCACTACATAATTTTGGATCACAATTATAATAACTGTACTTACAACCTAAACCATCTATTGTGTAACGAGAATTACATTAATTTTATGTAAAACTATAGCCAATATTACATTTGATAAAGGCACAACCTTATCCTTAAATATAATTCAAACCGCAAATTGGAGAAATTAATAAACACTCCAAATCTGTAATAGCTATTATATTTTCATTGCAATTCATATTACCAATAGATTAACATTTTCCTGATCACCAATAGTAATTCTAATATTGAGCACATTGATAATGTAATTTAATTTCTCCTTACTTATAATTAACACATTTATTATTATTATTTTTTAAAACGTTATCATATTAGCAATCATAACAAATCTAATCCGTTAATGTTTATTGTGAAGTACAATTTTTCTTGCTACTTTTTTCTATGCATATTTTATCCAATTTACACACTTTATTAAATGACATTTTAGCATTACCACAAGAGGAAGAACTTAGGTTAGAGCAATTTAATGGGCAGTAACAACCTTATCCGCTTTGTTTTAAAATACAGTCAGTATTATAAGATTAACACTCTTCATTACTTTTACTTTAAGTAATTTTTTCACAAGTTTCACAATATACTTCCTAACACTTGTAATTAAAGGAAAGACATCTCTTTCTTGTTTTAGTTATAGTAACATTGCATATGGAAGGATTAGTAATTTCATAGCATGAATTAGGAGTATTTTAACAACCTTTTCCAATACTCCCATCTTAATTTATAGTTAATATGCATTCTTAATTTCTTCTCCAATTTAAACACTCACTTTCAGTAGTTGCAGTCTTATTATCAACACATTCTAAATTTTTACATTTCTTGTTTCTATCATCCCAAATACAAGGTTATTAATCATAATTAAGATTGCATTCAAGTTTACTTTGATAAAAATAACAATAATATTTTAATTAAACGCAACTTATGGTGATATTATCTATTGTGCATTTAGGATTAAAAGATTCACAAGCTTGATGTGTTAAATCGCTAATTCCACTTACCTAACAAAAAAAAGATGTGTCAGCAACTTTGGATTACTTATACGTTATCCCAATAACAGGATCCTGAGATAGTTGATTTACAAACTTACTCTTCACGATATTAAGTACAGTGATCCTTTTTCTTTTCACATCCCTAAAAATTGATTCCAAGCAAAACATTCTTTAATGATTATTAAATATATTGGAGTTTGATGAGTTGCAGCTCTTGTATTCTAATCGTTTTTCGCATTTTGCTTGTGTAGGATTGTAAATGCAACTATTCATCCACTTTTAGCATTCAATATTATTTTTATAAAAATTTTATGAAGCATCTGAACATTCTTTTATTTTACACAATGTTCCTGACCAAAAGCATTCCTCTCCATTTTCTAGATTTAAATAAAATTACTGTTCTGTTTTCATATCACTACAATTAGTGGGCCATTTTATATTTTTAAATTAATACAATCTTTGTTTTTGTATAATTTGTTGAAATAGCACTAGAACACTCCTCATTTTCACATTTATTTTAAGTGGTATTCCATCTACAAATATAACCTTATATAGTTGAAAAACATTATTCCTTTTAATATAATTGACATTATTAAAACTTTTTTTAATATATCCTGCTACAACTTATATATTAGATTAAGAGAAAATTTAATTGTACATTTTGGCAGCCAATCTTCACATTCTTATATAGATTAAAGGTAATTGGAGCAGTATTACACATCCTTGTGATAATAAGCATTGATTTCCTCTTGAATCAATTGTATAATCCTTTTCTCCTTATACATTATCACAAGTATAATCTACACATCCAAATTATTAAATATTTATTATGCAATTTTGACTTGCAAGTTATCAAGCTTAACTTGTAGAATAATATGGTAACTTTAATTAATTACTATCCAATAAACTAAATTAATTGTTTAACCAAATACATTATTACACCTCTGGTGAAATTCCTATTCCACTTTACCTCTTAACCATAAAATATTATTTTTTAAATTAAATTTTTTATTATAATATTATAATAATTATTATTATTATATTCGTAATTCTAATGTATAATTTTGACAAAAGTATTATTCTTCCTTACATTCTAAATTCAGACAGAGATTAGAAATCGGGACTTCGGGATGCGTTTGTGCATGTAATTTTCTGAAAATTTTCAATACAATTAAATAACATTGAATCTCGTCTTTAAATGTACCCTTCTAAAATACAATCCATTTGTAAAAATTTTTTAAAATATTTAATTTCATCAATTCACTTTTAGAAAATCCTCAGATCGCTATCAACAATTTAATCCTCTTTCTTATTAAATCCCAAAATACCTAACAATTAATTAAAAATGAATCTTTTTTAGTTGAAATATCATCCTAAATTTATTCAACTTCTGAAACATCCAATACAACCTAAATAGATTTACCAAAACCGATATAGGACCAAAGTATTATAATCTTTATTCATGTCTGTGAAAATCTGCATAACCCACTAACATTTCGTGATTAATTAATAAATTCCCTTCTTAACCTAAATTCAATTCTTTTGCCTTTTTATATATCAAAAACAGTGATTTTATCTTAATCTAAATAATTTCTTAATTTTGAACCAAATCCTTTTAAATTTTCATTCAGCGAGATACTCGATTTTAAGTATTCTATTCCATTTCTAAAGTAACATCATTATTTCTTGAAGATTTAATTAATATAGGTTATAATAAAGGGGATTTCCAAATCTTATAATGGATTTCTTTTATTAATAACTTAAACCTTCTTTTCCATTTTTACTCCTATTTTCATACAATTAAAGAGGATAGATTTTTTGTTGAAAAATTAGAATTGACTATACTCACATCCATCATCGTGTAAAGGTGAAACAAAACCTATTAATTACTTTTAAAAATTCCTTTTTCGACAATGGTTTCTAATTTTCTTTCATCATTAAATTTTGATCTCTATGGAGAACATAATAATTATTTTGATTGTCTTGAAATTTTTAATTTTGGTAACACTGGCTTAAAGTTGTTTTTATTAGAATATATAATAATTAAATGAGAAAGAGTAATCTATTTTGATTATTAATATATTTTATGAAAAAAGTCAGAAATAATTTAAAATATATTTGTTTATGGATTTTTATGTTTTTTATGTGGGCTATTACTTCATACAAATCATTTAAATTAAACTTTTACTAAGATTAAATTAGAGTGAAATTAATTATAAGATTAATTTAAGTGATTGCATTCTAATTTAGTTGAAATGGAAATGAAGATTAATATGAGTTATTAAAATTTCGCTTA